TATCGCATTTTAATGGAAAGTCGTATAAATTTTATATCAGTTACTGAAGCCTTTCAGACAGCTCGTGTAACTGCAGTTGAATCGAATTTGAAAAGGTTGCTCGACAGCTTTTTGCCCTGGCCAAGCGAACAAAAACTTTTCCCCCGTGAAATATTCCCATGCAGCTGCAAATGGGATTTGAATGGAGTGGAGAGCGATGGGAAACAAGGTCAAGTTCACGTTAAACACACTCGACAGTTGTGTTAACAACTTTGCAGTTGGTCAACAATTTGATGGCACTGCACAATGCACGCGCTGTACTCCTGCTCCCCTCTCCTGCCGCTTCTCCTGACCCACCTACGGTTTCCCGTCTCGATTGCACTTGCCCATGTTGGCACTCGAAAACCTAATAAAAAACTTGCTCAACTTGCAGTGACAGTCGACACGGACCCAAGGTCAAGCCGCAAGTGCCACAAAGGAGAAATTGCCACAAGGTCGCGCAGAGTGGGGCAGCTGCCAGCTGGCGAAATGAAATCGAACTGTGCCCGCAACCAATTACCATAATGACGGCCATAGCCAATCGACGCCAGGGAGCTGCGCCCTAGAACAGAAGCTAATGATATGCAAATGGCTCCATAAACAAATGAAGATTAGATTAAAAGCTGATGTCACATGATGTGCTTAAGAGTTGATATACTCTGTAGCTAAACATTAATAATAATAGTAAGTGTGAAGCTATGTCAGGTCCTAGCTATATATATATTCATAATCAGTCTCAGTTGACTTTCCAACTGTGTAATCTATAAATATATGACCTCAAGATCATTTTCATATATCGGAAATACGATCTAGCAAGCAGTCAGCGCTATGATTAAAGAGCTTAAAATGTTTATTAAATATGAGAGGCAGTCTTCGCCTATGAATCACGTTTGGTATATCTGAGATACGAATGTCAGTTTAATGAGCAATCAGAGATCCACTTTGTCAGCTTGTCAGAGATGAGCCAAAAACAAACAAAGAATAAATAGTCAGAGTGTGGCCGCACCGACTGCCCAATACTCGTTCACAGTGCTAGAGTAACGAAATATACCTTAAAGAGCTGGAAATTCTGAGTTGTCCCTCTATAGAGTTACCTTCATGTAATAATTTAATTATATAATAATTATTACTGATAAATAATTGTTGGCTTAGCCATAGAACAGATTAGCAGTTAAAGTATGACAATGCGAATTTCAACCTAAGGATTTACTAGGTGTTGTAGTACTCTTATCAGTCTATAGACGCTCTCAGCAGCAACTGTTACTATCATTGTAGTTGCTAAGCTGTAAGATTGTAAAAGTTTTACAGGTGCTAGGATAAGAATTTATGAGCATATATAGAGAAGTCTTATATATGATATAGAAATCTGACATACAGAAGTATATAGTGCAGAAGTATATATGTATATACAGAAGTATATATGTGTCAAGCTTATATACTCTCTTTTCACTCCGGTAAGCGGGTATGAAAACAAGCGTGAAAACAAATAGACAAATGAGTGAAATATTTTCCTTTAATTGCTGCTGCTACCTCACGGCTGTTTGGGCTGTATTTCGACCTGATTTGCATGTACTTGGCATAATTAAATTTAAGCAGCAACAGCTGCTTGCAGCTCTGTTCGAATTGTTCTTGGATATAAGCCAAATTCAAATAGACCATAAAATACACAAGAAGTTTCACATTGATCTATATGGTATATGGTATATGGAATAAGGGATATACTATATGATAGATCACATAATATACACAAATTGTTTTTCTAGCCACATTGAGGCGCAATTATTAATTGATTTTGGCAAAGATTTACAATTGGCGCTCTCTCCTGTTTTCACAGATTATCAGCTGAAATCAAGTATAAATTATGGGGATCTGTTAGACATTTTAAAAGAAATTTAATGGTGCCAGCGGGGCGTATGAGTATTAAAATTGTAAATTAAACTCAAATGGCAGCGTACAAAGTGAATATAAAAATTTTAAAGAAAAAAAAACTTTAATATGTATTTAAATAAACAGCAGATATGGCGTACAGAAGCTCTTAACTTAACTAACTAAGAGCTGACTAACATGGCGTATGGGCAATGTTTATCTTATATGTCTAAGTAGATTAGAGCTGCTTGTGAGTATCCCTTGAAAATATATGAAAAACCCACACACACAAACCAATTCTTTTCACACTCATTTAATCTGGATTATCAAGAATAAATCTTGAGTTCTTTTTTTTTTTCAATTCATTAAATTTGAATTGAATTGTTAATCGTAAATAAAGAAATCATATTTGTGTTCTAATTGTGATTGTGAGCAGCTCAATCAGCAATTTATAATGAATTCAAATCGAATCATAATCGAAAATGTCAAAATCAATTTGCGAAGACGCCATACGCTGTTCTCTCTTTCTCTCTCTCTCTCTCACTCTTGCTATCTCTTCATTCTGCCGACAGACAAACGACTGTCAAATTGTTTTATTTATGACGGTCAATTGGAGCGCTTCGTAGCTCGCATAACGAATCCACCTATTGTCTCACAGCGTGCTACAGTGAAACCTCGCTATAGTTTGCTGAACTCTTTTTTCATACATTGACATTTAATTTCCTGTATTTCTTTTATTTATATATAGATATATTAGCCAATAAACAGCACAAATATTTGCTGTTCCTTTTTACCAGTCTTTACTGTTGTTACGCAGCAATTTAATCAGTGACATTAGGGAAATCCTATCGCTGCTCGATGAACACCATCAGGTGACTATTGAAAGACTCAAGCAATGCGTTGCAAAATTGTGGGCCATAAATTGTTTTATCTCAAGTGAGTCCATAAAAAAAATCACGGCTTTGATTTGCGAATCGTGTGCCATATAACATCTGATGTATCCCACTGTCCGACTAGCTACTATCTTTTTTCTTGCTATTCTTTCCTTTACCAATTTTCTGCCTAATTAATCACCAAAAATATTCGAAATTTGACCCATCATTATGTTATCTGTACCGAATTTAATATTGAATATATATTATCTAATAAAATTCCTATAATTGGTTTGTAACCCCTCTTTAATGCATATGAGTAAGCAAAAAGATATCCGTCGCGTGCTCATAACTAGAATTTTCTACTTTATGAGCGCACATAGCAAACTAAAGCCTTTTATCTGACTTCACTTGGAATATAACAAAAAATATAATTAGGCTAATAAAATCTAATTTTAGCTTATACTTGAATATACAATTCCCATAATTATAGGGTAACAACGAAAAGAGAAGAAAATTTGGAGAGAGCTCAATATAAAAAGTTATATGTATATAAAATAAATATTTTAGGCATATATAAAATATGATATATATTATTTGCTTGTTCTTATCTCTCTTACGAATTTCATTAATAAATTTCAATAAACAATCAGCATCAAGAAATGTTTTCATAATTTTCAATGTAAACACTGTGAGAAAACTTCCTTATGTTTTATTTCTGCGTTTGAATGATGCAAAAGTATTTTGAAATATTTGTACAGTTTTAGTTTAGCAATCGTAACTTGTAAATCTTAAAATATACGTATATATAATATTAACTGAATATATAAATACTTGAAATATATAAATTATATAATATATAGTCTGCTCCAATACGTTCCGCATGGACCTGTCAGAGTCTAATCAGTATGGCGACCGCTGTCACATAGTGTAAAATATTAGCTTATATTTTCGCTTAATTTTGATTACTTTATTATATTCTGTCTGCGTTCAGCATGTCAATCAGTCAACTAATCAGTCCGTCAATCAGTCAGTCAGTATCTAGCTGTTGTCTTGTGTCATCAGTGGTGACCCATGTCTAATTTGACTTTGCCTAGAAACATGACCAATCAAAAATAGTTGATAACTTTATTTTAAGATATTACGTGCTTCGCTCTACTTCTCGATTCGATTTTCGGTCCTAGAGCTCTTTCTCTTTTATGTTTAAGAGAGAAACTCTCTATCTCTCTACCATTGGTTTCTATTTCCTATATTGTTTGTTGTTTTATACAGACCTATTCAAAAAGAAAAACTGACTTATCAAGGCTTTATATTTGATATATGATTTCTTTCTTAATTGGCTATCGTGTATATTTGCATGTAAGTCTATGTTGTCGCTATATTTATTTATTTTCTCACCTGGACGCACCTTGACGCAATTGTCTTTCTGATTTTCTGCAGCCGCATTTGGAACACAGAATCACACACACAAATACACACGCACATCTACATAGAGAGTGAACGAGCTGTTATTGGTTAGCCATAAGCAGATCGGACATGATATTGCGATAACATTGACGCTTCTCTTGGCGACAACAAAACGCGGCCAGAATTATGCATTTGATTGCGGAACGCATTTTGTTTGATATTTATGACAGAATTCATACATAAACGACGCAATTTACAGAGTGTAAACAAATTTGGTTTATTTTCATTAAAAAATACGATTCTAATATAAGATGTAATATCTGTCAGTTTTCTCGATTCGTTGCCAAAGTAATAATGCCGTGAACGACCGAGCGCAACAAGTAAACTGAATAAACTAAAAAGTAAATAGCAACAGGTCCCTCAGCATCCCAAGCAAAGCGCATGTGCAATGCAGTGCAAACGTATCACAAGCAATGATTAAATCTTAAGTAACTATATAAAAAGCAAAAGAGAGAAAAAAAAAACAAGTAATTATATTTTACTCAAATTTGCATTTAGTTAATTGTAGCTTAATAAGCTAGAATCTAAATGCTTCAGTCAAAAATGACTAACCAAATTTTTAAATTTTGTAAACTTGGCGCCCAAAATCGATTGCACAGCGCTGCCAGATGTCTATTGCTGCCCGCTAGTTGGCAACAATGGCAACGATTGAGTGGCAACGCTTTATAGGCGCGCCACAATGCGTATTCAAATCAATTAAAATCAAGTTCGCTTTGAATGGCAAACTTATATTGTCATTTGTCGTTATTCCAAAAAAAAAATATATTCCAAAAATAATCATAGCAATTGAAGAATATAGAAAATGTCGAACAGTTTGAATTTCAACATGGAAACTGGTTATTTAGAAGGATTAGTGCGTGGCTTTAAGAATAGTTTGCTATCTCAATCCGATTATCTAAATTTAACAGAATGCAATACCCTGTCAGATCTAGTGCTCAATATACAAAACACAGACTATGGTCCATTGCACAACACCGAAGCGAATTTGGATGTGGAATCGATTGAGAAGTGTCTGCGAAAGCGTATTGTAATAGAATACAATTATATTCGGGAAAATTCGACGGAGCCTTTGAGCACATTCCTCGAATATATACGATATGAGCATATGATCGATAATGTTGCATTGCTGATGACCGGCCTGATCAATCATCGTGATATAAAAAAACTGATGCCCATGTGCCACCCATTAGGGCTATTCGACCAATTGGAGGCCATTGAGGTGGCGAGCACCATAGAGGAGCTATACAATGTGATCCTGATCGATACTCCGCTGTCCAATTTCGTTGCAGAGAACTTGACTCGATCGGCAATACATAATACGGATGTGGAGATCCAGCGTAGTTACCTATTCAAAGCGTATATGGACGACTTTTACAGGTTCTGCAAGAAAGTGGGCGGCACAACGGCCGAAGTGATGTGCAAACTCTTAGGCTTCCAAGCGGATCGTCGCATCATCGCAATCACAGTGAATTCTCTACAAATTAATATGGAGTCCAAGCTACGCCTTAAATTATACCCTCATTGTGGGACACTGTGCCCGCTGACTAGAAGCGCATTGGCCATCTGCACGGAGGAAGATCAAGTGCACACGATTCTCAACCAGAACATGACCTATGCCAACGTCCTGTCCAGCATCGAGAGGGACACGGAGAATCTGATCACCCTCGAGGATCGCCTCCAAACTTTGGAGGCCAAGATGCACGTGGACTCGTTTCTGCACCAGTTCCACTATGGCGTCTTCTACTCCTATCTGAAACTAAAGGAGCTCGAGTGCCGCAATATAGTCTGGATTGCTGAATGCATTTCCCAGCGGCAGATCGATAAGATTAATGCCTATATACCCATTCCGAACTATTTGTAATTGATTACTCATTTTTTAAAAGATTGTTAAATAATTTATAATAATTTTCTTTTTGTTGCTGTTTACATAAATTAAAAACCATATTTTAATAACTTCTTACGATTATTTAATTTAATAAAAAAGTTAAAAGTCGATAACCAAAAATATTAATAATATTTCATTTTTACATTTATTTATCTACATTGAACATTGTAATAATGTATATAAATTTAGTAAAATAAACATTTTTATAAGTATTATTGGTTTTACCAAACTATTATTTAAATTTGAAATATATTTTACAATATGTAAAAATATATTAAATATTACTTAAGCTATTCCATAAGCATAAATATATACACATTTTTCTAAATATAATTACATATATTTAAATAAATGAAATTAAGTTTCGCTCTTATTCAGATAGTTGTGCTGCCTTTTCCCAAGCGACAAAAGTAAATAAAAATGAAAAAAATCAGCTGAGTCGCGAAACACTGAGACTGCGGCGAACATTTGAGGCAGCAGGTTCTGGGTTTTCTTTATTTTTTTGCAAAATTCAGTTTCAATTCGTGATTCTAGCTCGCTAGTTGTGCCAAGATATAGCAACAACCTAACCTAACCGAATGAATCATCTTCGTTTTCTAGTTGCTCTACACAAATGTACGTAAATATAAATAATACATACGCACATACAATCATACATGCATGCATATCTTTTTATTTTCCACTTCGTATCTGCATTTGTATAAGTGTGTTCGACTTTTATCAACAACAAAAAAAAAAAACAATTTATTTGAAGCTCAATATTATATATGTAGCTGTAATAAGTCTGTAAATGATACGTGTACCGCATGAACATACATATGTAAATATAAATACAGATAAAGTTTCGCCTTATACTTACATATAAAAAATATATATGCGCGTGTGTTTGCATGCAAAGGCTACGCTTTTCCGCATTTTTCCTGCAAGTTCAAATTTCCTGTTTTCGCTTTAGCCTTGGCCCCTCTCATAGCCCTCCCTAACCCTACCCATTCACAGTCCGTTCTGGATGCTAGAGCATTCTTATTGGTTACTTTCCTCTCAATACTTGTAAATCTCGTTTGGCATTTCGCTACAACAGGAAATTGGCTAGCAAAATTGTGCATTAAATTCGACAAATTAACTGGGAATGTGTATACCAACTAGTGACTGAAAATACATACATTTAAAAAATAATAATATTATGTTTTTCGAAATTGCAAATTGAGCACATAGTAATTATTCTATTAGCGTCGCTTTTAATTGAATATAATCTAAATGACTTTTACAATTCCCGTTATTTATGTCAGAATTCCAGCAGATATGCCTTGCCGCTGTTCCCATTCAATCTCTCAATCTCAATATGACAGCTAGCAAAGCCAAAGCTATTCCATAACCATTATTTGTGCCTTTCCGAAATATAACAGCAGAGTATTGTATTTTATACATACATATGTATATGAATATGTACATCCATACACACATGCAGGCATTTTGGAGTGTAAAGGTATGTGTGCACTACTAGCACGAACGAACGGCTTATATGTACGTTCGTAGTATATATGTATGCATGCATGTATGTAGTGATGTATGTTACGTTTAGCAAGTATATAGTTTGTTTTTGTAGGCTTTCGTTGCTTTTGAATTTTTGAGTTTCGCAGTATTGAAATCGTGGTGGTGGTTGTTGGTTGAAATTCTGTTCTGTTTCCTCTTCATGTTGCTGTGAGAGTAAGCGCTCTCGCGGTCGTGTCGTTTCGTGCTAGTCTGCGTGTCTGAGAGAGTCACTCGGTGCCTGTGTGTATGTGTATATGTGTGTGTTTTGTTGTTCGGCAAGGTGTTTGCGTTGCTGTGTTGAAAAATAGTTAAGTAAAGTTATTATTAAAAAACAACCGTGAGAGCAGCTGAATTGAAACTCGAAATTTTACGCAACGATTCAGCTGATTGGAAGTGTCAGTGTCAATTATTAATTAGAAATATATTGCCCGTGTTATGTGAAGCTGTCAACGATTGGTTTGTTAAATGTAATTAACGTTATTCCTATATTTTCTTATTCTTGAAAAATTCTCAACATAATAAGCGTAAATTTGTGCCATGTGATAGCTTGTGTGTGTGTGTGTGACTGTGCTTAAATATGTGAGAGACAGACAAGGCAGCACTCTCTTTTCGTGCGGTAGTTGCGCTCTCCCGCGCTGTCTCTCTCGCTCTGGGTTTATATCTTTTCCACATGACAGTGGGACATAGGAAATTTAAATCAAATAGTTATTAGTATTATAAGAGCGCTCCTTGTTTTCAATAAACTGAAATGGGTAGCTTTTGAAGAATTTGTCAAAATGCGATGACTATATTAAAAAAGTGTTGATTAGCGATTGAGCGTCAAATGTTATTTTCAACCGGCTTTTGAAAAGCTTGTAACCACTGTATGTAGTCTCTCAATCTTATGTGATTTTCTGACAGCTGGAAAATTACTCAGCTTTAGCTCCACAAATTGTGATTTGAGTTTCGAATGCAGCTATCGGGTTCTCCCGGCTCAACATCCCCTTCCATCTTTAAAAATCCATATGTACATGTATGCGACATCTCAAATTCAATCAAAACTAAATAGAGGTTTTTTTCCAGTCATTCTGTTTCAGTATCAGCAGCGTCTTTGAATATCATTACGCATCTATCTCGGGTGCTCAAGTCGCATTTATTTTTATTATATATACAAATATTGTATATACAAACATTATGTACATACATACATACATATGTATGTGCATATTTGTATATAAATAGTCGAATATGAACGCAGTTACAAACATAATAGCGCTTCGTTTCAAAAAAGTGACGAAATCTTTGTACCCCAAGTGCTTCACGAGCTCGTAATCGTATTGGGCATGTTTATTAACATTTTAAAATCGTTTACTCACTATCTCTAAATTTAGTTGATGTGTGTGTGTGTGTGTGTGTGTGAGTGCATGAGAGTTAAGGTGTATATGTGTGTTTCTCTGTGCGTGCTTGTGTGTGTGTGTTCACGTTTATTCTTTTTCACCTTCCCTTTGTCGTTATATTTCGTATTGAAATTTGTAATCAAAATCGATAAAAATATATATTTTTTTGCCTATTTAGATTTCGTTGTAGTTGTAAGTTGAGAACGTATCGCAGGTGTACTATGCACCAATGAACATTATTAAGGGGGTTTCGAGTGTTATTCTCATTTGTCTCGTATCAATTTTTGAGTAACAAAAATAATTTTATAAATATAAACACAAAGTGTACGGAACTGTCACTTTTTTCGATTTATTTGATTTTCTCTGTGTGTGTGTGATTTTCTTTCGTATTAATGTGATTTCAAATCTGGTTTAGTAAGTTTTTCTAAATATTCTAAACAGCTGCAATTTGAATTTTCATACATTCATTTGTTTGTTTTAAGTCATTTAACTGAATGTTTGTTTTAGAAAACATAGTTTTGTATTTTGAAAATTAGGCTTTTTCAATTTTGCCTCGCAGTATATTGTTGAATATAACTAATTTTCGTAATTTGGTTCTGTTCTCAATAGAGTTTACGTAACCACTCGAGGAAAATATAATAGACGTATCGATGTTGATGCCGCGGTATTCCGAACAGGAAAGCCACAGCGAGAAAAGTTTTGCTGGTAAGCACAACCACGCCTCCACCACAGTGGCCGCCCATACGAAAATGCGTTTAATTAGCAAAGTGGAGCACAATATGCGCCAACAGCAGCAACAACAACAGCAGAAACAACAAACTCAAAATCAAAATCAAGGTCAAAATCAAAGCATCAACAAGCTAATCAATACGGCTGCCACGGGCAATGGGCTGGTGGGCGATGTGGACGAGCTGTTGACGCCAATGCGCATCAAAAGTGATCCCACGTCCAATAGCAATGGCAGTGGTAATGGCGGCAAAGAGACGTCCACCAGACCGGAGCGCAACCTGTGGAGTCGCATCGAGATGCTCGAGATGCTGAACATAATGCAGGAGATGAACGCCCTGGACCAACTCAGCGATCGGAACGTGAAGAGCGAGCATGTGTTTCGCCAGATCGAGGAATCGATGCGCAGGAAGGGCCTTGTGAAAAAGTCAAGTATTCAGATCTGGACCAAATGGAAGTTCCTCAAGTCCACATACAACACAACAACGCGGCACGGCAATGGCATTCCCAAAGTCGTGCCAGAGGAGGTGTACCGTGTGCTTTGCCGCATGCTGCGCGAGCATGCGAATGCAAACAGAAGTGGAAGTGGCATCAGCAGTGAGTGTGGAAACTCCAGGGACAGCTCCAATGCGGAGCTGGCCAAGGCCACTGCCAAGAAAAGCGAGGTCAAGGAGGAGCTGGGCGTGGAGCATCCCATATTTGGCTTTCGCTTGGGTCTAATCAAGCCGGAACCCTTGGATACAGGTGAGCAGAAAAAAAATAAAAAATCAAATGTTAAAATATGATATATATATTTAATTTATCAGGTTACGAGATGATGTCTAACAACAATCATCCAAACTCGAGCGAGGACGACCTGAGAAGCGAAGACTATCTACGAGCGCACGACCAGTCGCATGCCCTGGACCACACGCCGTTCACGGCCAATGTGAAGCACGAGCCCGAAATGGATTTGGGCATGGATAGCACCAATACACCGCCGCCTACGGCCCCGACGTCGCCCTCACCACCGCCAAGCAGCGTGGAACAACAAGACCTGGACGATGCGTCCACAATGTATCCGAGCAAGTCGCAGGCTTTATCCCTGCCGCCGTTGCGCGTCGCCGCCTTTGCAAATGATGCACAGCCAATTGCGGCATCCACGCCCACACATGGCATACTCCAGATCGAACGACCTGTCTCTCAGCTCAACAAGCCTGCCGTGAACGGTGGTCTCGGCCGGGGCAATCGCAGCATGCCCCTGCATAGCACCAGCAGCATTAGTTTCGTGCATCCCAATACCAAATTGATGCTGCCACGCAAGCAGCAACCGCTGCGCATTCCCCGTGAGATCAGTGTGCAGCCGGCGAATGTACGTGCGCTGAAACCCGTACCTGTGCGCGACACGGGCTACATGCTGCGTCCAGATCGCATGATACCTGACCTGGAGCAGTCCATATCACCGCCCCAATCACCATCGCCGCCCATGCCCAGCCAGCCTATGCCAAAATATTCCATTCCATATGCCTCGACGAGCAGGCAGGCGCAGCTGCTCACTGAACAGCAACAGCATACTCGAAAGCGGCGGCTTCAATTTGGTCAGCTGTCATCACCTGTCCCCATCAAGCTGCAGCGCAGCTCCACACTCTACGAGAGCCCCCATCAGCAAAGCAGCACTCACAATGAAGAAGCTGCCGCCGCGGAAGAACAGAGGAGACAAAAACTCGCTGAGCAGGCGCAGCGTCGCAAGGAACAACAGGATGAGCTATTCCAGAAGGAGCTTAGCCAGCTGGCCATTGCTATGCGGGAGGCACAGAAAGAGATGCTCCATACTTTCTTCCAGCAGCAAAAACAGTTTGCACGTCGCGAGCATCAGTTCCAGCTGAAGCAGGATAATTTGGTCATGAGTGCACTGCGTAAACAAACGGACGTACTGCTTCGGGCAGCCAAACAGCTAATTCCGTGTGAGCAGGACGAGGTAGAGGAGGCGGCAAAAAGTAAACCATCTGTTAAAGCCAAGGACCAGCAGCAGAAGGACACGTCGAGTAGCGACCTCTTACTGCAACCTGATGCTGAGCTGCAAGAGGATATTCAAAAGCTTGAGGAAGAAGAGACGGAGGATGAAGAGGACAAAGAAGATGAAGAGCTGGAGCAATACGAAGGGGAAACGCAGGAGAGTGAAGAAGCTGCTGTTAACACAGCCAGCGAGCTATCGTCGAATCAAAGCAGCAGCTCTATCGACACAGAAATATGTTAATATATATATAAAAATATGTCCTAGTATATCAAGTATTATCACAAGAGAACTATAATATTGTCATTCCAAATGTTCAAAACCACAAACATTTCCAAACACATTCCTTAATTTTTGAAAAAAAAAAAAGAGAACACATTTAGGCATATATATATATATATAGATTATATATATACATATTCTTAGAGCAAAGCCCACATTGTTAAAAGACTTGATTATATTTAAGCATTGTTTGTGCTATTAAATCTATTGAAACATCAAAATATACGCATACATAGTGATATTTAAGCAATATCGAAATAGAAGCAGATATGGAAACCGTATCATTTATGAATATATGAAATTATGTAAATTTAGACAGCTAGGTCAGGATTGTATTTTTCTTAAAATTTGTGGAGAGTTGTAAATATATATATGTATATACAAGTATATATCGAATGCAGCGTTAAAGATGTTCTTAAGTGTCGGCTTCCATTTCTGCATCTCGCTCACCTCAATGCATTCAGAACCTCAAGAATCAGTTTTCAGTTTCCAGTTTTCTTAACAAGAATTGTATTTAGTATTGCATTATTTGAAACAATATATTCAAGAATTAAGAATTAAACGAAATATGAAAACGCATTAGAAACTAGCGAGAAATCAATTGTTCTTATTAGCTATATATATATATTCTTTCAAAAATTTGTTTAAACTAAATACTACATATTAACTAGCACTAGCTTAAAATGTGTATGTGTATGTTTCACTAAACTAGTTGTGTTTAGTTGTTGCACAAGATTAAACGCCTAAAGCATAACTATTATTATAATTATATTTATAATTATTAGTTGCTAGCTTTTTTTTAGTGTTTTTTTCTTTTCTGTTTTTTTATATTTTACAATTACGATTAGAGGCCCCCCTTAATGAACACCCCTCCCAAACGATTGCCCCTACGACTGCAATGATCCACACTGCGTATATATATATTATATATATATATATTTAGTCGGGCCGATAGATGGGCGTCTTGGGTATAAATTCAATTAAAATAACATACTCCATCATGGAATTGGAATCACATTGTTGCTTATGTAAACGCCAGTGCAGGCCGAGCTTATGATATAAATGACTATTTTCCCACTCGAGCAGCTTATCCAGTGTCAATTGCGTCTGCAAGCAAATGATAAGGGTTAAGTTAATATCTATTGGCATTGTCAGAGAAAAATAAGCATGAATATGATGGAAGCTTTAATCTTACGCGTTTGCTCAAACATATGACCGGCCAGAGAGAGCAGCCCAGGGTGCAGCAACAACAAACGCAGCCGCAAAAGAGCCACTTGACATTCAGGGGCAGGGTCTTCTTTAATATGCCATTGATGCGACCGATGGTCGCTTTGAATTCCTCCGGCGCAACGCGCGATAGCAAGCCGCAGGGAAACTCGACATTAAACCGATTGCTCAGACCAAAACTGCAATGCAAGAAAGAAGAAATTTGTGATGGCAATTCGCATTGTGTTTATATTGATCTAATTCAGTTATGCAACCTGTCCGTCCGTCAGTCAGTCAATCAGGTAATCAATTATTAACAACTGGCCGCCAAATAGCACAAGGTCAAACGCATGTACTGCACGCCTGCTATCAATGTAAACAAAATGAATACGAGCCCGAGAACACACTCAATTTTTAGGTATCAAGAGCCTTGAGCTACATTGAGAATTAATACATTATGTATGAGCGTATAATGTATACACTCAGCTGATTACTTACACGGTCATGTTGCCCGCGCCTCGTATGATAATTGGTTCGGGCACTGGCATCACTGTCTGATCCTGGAAATGCTCCAGGTCATCCAGCTGCTCATCCTCGTAGATGGCATCAAAATCGGAGAACGACATCGTTCCTGATTTACTTGAAGGTTGTTAGTATTTACGCTGAGGGACTGGTGGCTTCGATGGATGCTCGGTGTGTCACAGAGAAATTGTTTGCAACGCTTGCAAGGAGATCAACACATTTTTCATTTGACTTGTAGTTGCGTAAATTCTGATTGTATGAGTGCGACAGTTGCTGTTCAAATAAAATCTCCGTCTGAGTGTTGTGCCTTTGGTATGATTGTTGTTCGCTCGAGACTCTAAATGAGCGCAGCCGTCTTTGTTGTTACTGTTATACGATTATTGTTGTTGCCTGTTGTTGTTGTTGATGATGTAGCTGTGACTGGCGCTGGCGCTGCTTCCGCCATACGCATTGACGTTAACTGCGCTGTGGCATGGACTGATATGAGCTGTGACGTTGACTTCCTTAATTGCGTTGCATTACAAAAAGAAGGCACACAACTGGAGTATATGTATTAAAATTGAACACTAAACAACAATCACACTGATATACATATGTATGTAAGTAAATGTGTAAATTCACTCAGCAATTTTTCTGAAGGTTGTGCAACACTGGCGTTCGTCCGCTTTTGTTATTGTTGTTGCTATTGCTGCTGCTGCTGGTGTTCCTGTAGTGGGGGCCAAAGCAATGTGCATTCGATTTTGTTTGCTGCGTATTTCGCAATCACTTTTACACCTATTGCTTCAAATTTTAAACTCAAATCGTACACATTTCAGATGTATATACTTATTTTCAGCATTTTTTTTTGTTAAAAGGCTAATTCAAAATATTTACGCAGTTATTTTTTTACACTTTTTTGTGTTTTGTAATGATGAAAATAGGTTCTTCGCTTTACATTTGTTGTTGCGAGACGACCAGCTGGCAGCTGTTTACGATTTAGGGTTGCCCAACCGTCGCAAAAAGTGAGAAATCTCACATTCAAACATGGGAATGACCAGCGGGTTAATATTGATTTATTAATTAGCTATATTAATAAATAATTAAAGTGTATAGTTATATATAATTATAATATATATGGTATATGTGTATAGCATATATAAGCGTATGTTCTAACTAATAATAAAAATTATATTGTGCACAAATTCGACAGATTAGCGAACATCAATTACTTTGCAGCAATAACAAAAGCATTAATGTATATAAAAAATGACAAGGCATATTTTGTGTCGGTAGGTAGCGCTCATCCTTCGCCTACTTCTTTTTTGATGCACTCGGGCTGGTCGATTGAAAGACAGAAGAGGCGGACATCAGATTCTCAATATATTGACCAAGCACTTGATTTTCCGAGCGTAATTTTAGATTCTCTTCCTTGACAGAGTCCACGCGCTGTGATAAATCATCGAGCGTATTTTGTAGCTCCAGAACCTGCGTAATCAAACGTGATTTCTCCTGTATGTCGTCCGGCCCCACATCAAGGGTGTCAAGCGAATTATGAGATGAATCTGGAGTTGAGCTCTGATTGGTAAATGAGGAGCGCAGCGAATCCATAGATCGGCCGTTGGCGATGTTTTGCGTTGTCGAGGGCTCATCATCGTTGATAATAACTATAAAACAGCCAATGAAATTATTACTCTTCCCACAGTTGGACGCGCCCAACTGTTCCACATCCACATCAGCCCAATGCACATACCCTGCGGATCTTCGTCAATAGCCATTATATTATCATCGTTGTTTATTATCGACATGATGAATAATGTTATAGCAAGGAGTTAACAATGAATTAAATGAATTTTTTAAGTTTTATTAAGAGAAAATACACGGAATACTAAACAACCACTTTTTGGTTAAAAATACGCTGTTCCACACTAAGTGTTCATCATTTTGCAACACTGTAACATTTAATTAGAAATCGAGAAACGAAGAAGAAGCAGTTCCAACTAGAATCTTAAAAGTTTAAAACTAAAACAATAACATTAAAAATAGTATCATGTCAACAACAAATTTGTGCTCGTTGAATAATAAAATTTTATTCACGAATAGTTTTAGGTGCCAGTATTAAGCATATCACTGATGAAAACAATAAACAACTGTTGCTTTTGCTTGACGTTATGAAGCTCCGTTTGAGCGAAAATTTTTAATAATTAATAGCAATTTGATCTTAAGCTATGCTCAAAGTTACGTCCAAAGCAACAGTGAATAAAAGAATAATGAAAACTCTTCTCAAAATCAATATTTAATGTTGATTATTTTAAAAATAACCGAAATGAGACTTATTGCAGAGTTGCCACCTGGGGAGCATTCGATCGACGAATTAAAATACACACGCATGCTTTTTGTCATTATAGTTTTTAACGTTGAACTGAAAACAGGTCGTTTAGTAACTAACTACAAAACTGAAAATTATAAGGTTGTGCTGAGTTCTAATACATTGTCCTGATAAAGCGCAAAAAAGTCTACATCTATTTACTTATATATTTGTATATACACTTGAAGTGTTGCTCTATAGTAAAAGAATGGTTAGCATTTGCGCAAAGTATATAAATATACATTTCAGTATAGATGTATAAAACTTTGTAATATCTCTATATCTAAGAAGAGGTAATGTTTATCTTTCATCTAACTGTTTACATTTTTAATGTTAACTTTTTCCACTTATAGTTCTGCATGTTCCTGCCAGTCAAAAGTAAATGGTAATACAATTGTTCTGAGCTGAATTCATCTCAACTTTCCAAGGTAATCATAGTATAGGTTTTACATTAACTAAATTTTAAAGTAAATACGAATTTTAACTATGCTTTTGGCATAATAAGTAAAGCCCAGATAAGGTATGTACATATGTACATACATATGTATATGTATATATGACATTGGCATCAGTATAGTCATAGACATACGTAACAACTGTAAATTGAAAAACTTAGAGACTAATTTGTTAAAGATGCAGTTATCATAGCACGTGGGCTTCGGCCATTATTAAATGTTGTAAATGTTGTCTAAGCCAATATATAAATCTTTATGCAGCATACCAACAATTTATAGCAATATTCTTCATTCGAAGTGCTGCCAACTAGATTTAATATATGCGTTGCCAAAGAGGCGCGTAAATTAACGGCGTCTTATCATTGATTATAACTGTCAATTTATCATAATATTGTTTAGTTTTTAAGAAACCAATACATTATACCTAATTTCTAACAGTTTTCAATTGTTTCAGGAAAAATTTTGTGACATTCTAACTGAAAACTTTTTAAAATCGAGCAACAATGTGGAACTGCCATGTTTGACAGATAAAATACTACAGCGCAAAAAATCCATAATTAAATACTAACATTTGCAAAACAGTTAGCGCGTGATAATATTTAATATATGCATAATCAACAGGATATATTTTAAATGTTGTGCTAAATATGAAAAGTGTTAAGCCCAGATATGCACTATAGTAAAATACTATGTATATTAAGCGAAAACGAATAATTAACTGCGGAAAAAATACCGAATGTGTGGGCAAAGGTGTAGTGATTGAATAAAATGCCAAAACTTGTGCGGCAACGTACGAATTCTTTTGCCTGCAGTTGAAAAGTGTAAAAAGACGCCATTTGAGTTGGCTTTGAATAAGTTTTGAAAGAAACAGTCAAATACTAGTGGCCGTGCTCCCAATCGTAAATAAACATTAAAGTTAGAAATCAAATATACAAAAATTTATCATGTTGCCCGCCAATGTGGGAACTGTAAATCCTAAACGAGAAGTGCCCAAGACGATGTCGCCTGTAAAATCTTTCAGCAACAAGGCAACGGCCACGGTCAAGCAGCCCGAGGAGATGCGTTTTGTGCCCATTGCACCAAAGCCAGCCAAACCCTGTAATATAACTATTAACAACTATAGCAACAGTAAAAATAACTACAATAATAACAGCAGTAATACTTGTAAATTTAATAGTAAAATTAGTAAAAAAATTAACAATAATGCATCGTCTGCCATTAAACCGAAACTAACGCCAGTAAATGTGGTACCGAAGCCATTCAAAACTAATTTTAATCATAATCATAATAATTTAACAGCACCAGTGCCGCCTCTTATACAACTGGTTAGTAATGGACCCAATGGGAATGCCAGCTCTCTGATTTCGATATTGACGCCCAAAACGCTGCTTAATCCCACTTGCACCAAGACCAATGTCCAGACGGTGGTACCTACACAGGCTAATCCACAGTTGCAGTTGCAATCACAACCACAACCACAACCACAGGCACAGACACAGGCACCGCCACAGTTACAGCCACAGCCCCAGGCACAGGCACCGCCTATGCTCATACGATCGGCCACCACGCTGGCTACCATGCCGACCCAGCAACAACAACCACAGCAGCATCAACCACAAAAACAGCCACAGCAGCAGCAACAACAACAACCACAAACGCCGCAGCACCAGCAGAAGCAACAACAGAAGCAGGAGCACCAACCAAATCAGCAGCAGCAGCAACTCCAGCCAAATGCTGCCATTCACAATAGTGCGATTCACTCATCAGGAACAGCTGCCGTTTCAACTCAGACGCACTTGATAAATATGGTGGCTGCCAAAGGTTCGCTCAAAGCGGGTAAGTTCCATTTTAGTACTTATATAATATAGATTAAGATTTGAAGTTCGATCGCGATATAGCATAGCCCTATATGTATGTCTTAACATACATACACATGTAATTGTTTGTGTTGTCTTCCATGCTGTTGCTGCTGGCGCTGCTGCCTCGTTTCGATTCGATTTCGGTTTTGCCTTTCAATCCATTTCATTTGCTACGAGTCGCTCATTTAGTTTGTTGTCGCTGTTCGCTCTGAAATAAATTTCTGACTGTGTAGGCATATGTGTGCGTGCGTGTGTGTGTGAGTGTAGTCTTTTATTATTACTATTATACACATATTACTACTTATTGTTGTTGTTATCATTGTAGTTGTCTATTTAACTAGCGATATTTCTGCCGTTTAACGTCTTTACAACTTTTTTCTGTATTTCATAATATTAATTAGTTTTAGTACGAAAATAAGTTTCATGTGGCTATTTTCAGATTTATATAGTTCACGTTTTTCAGTTTATGCTAGTGTTGTTGTTGCTGTTTTTATTAAATCGATTGACAAGTGATTTAACTGAAATTCATTTTCTGGTTTTAAGCTGATGTCACAAACGTTTTATGTGGCAGTTTCTGTTTTGAAGAGACTAAAAGTCACTTGTAAATATAATACATAAAATGTGTGGTGTTTTTTTCTGTAGCTGCTGCTTCTTCTTCTCATTGTTGTTATTTATCAACGTTATGTGTGTTCGACATGAATGTGTTTATATATGTATATATATATGCTAAAGTTGCGGGCGATGATCAGGTTTTTGCAGCTGCAGCTGCCCCAAACGAGCTAGTGCAGAAAACATTAAATTTGTATTTTGTATAAGAGGAATGCAGCGAGGACAATGCTTCAAACTTTCGAATTTGCAAAATGGAATTCAACAAATATTTAGCAGGCTAACCTTTCCGGAGTGACTCAACATCACCACCAACAATAACCACAAGAAACATTCATTTTTATCACAGTATATAAATTTGATATATATTTATATACATATATTTATATATATGTATATACACACAAAACAAATACATATGTCTGCATAGAATGTATGCAAGTATTCATACGTAAACACGCTTTTTCCTTTATGCTTATATAAATTTACTGTATAATGTTAATTTTGTTTTTGTTTTCTGTTTTCTGCTTTCAGCCGCTGCTGCGCCAGCCCAAATTTCGTTGCTGGCGAAAAAACAAACTCCGGTTATATTAAGCAAGGCGGCTGTGGAGAAAATTCGATTGAAATTTGGTCAGGTGCAGGCACAGGCTAATTCCGGTGCGCTTGTCTTGACCAAACCACTGAAGGCTAACCAGAACGGCGGCCAAAACGCTAACAACAACCGCAGCAACAACAGCAACAACAATAACAGCAACAACAATAACAACAACAACAGCAACAGCAGTAATTTGAACTCTAAGCCGCCACCAGGCACTGGGTCCAGTTGCATGCCCACGGCAACGAACACTGCTCTTATGCCTCCGCTGGTGCCCAGTTCGATGCCCACATCCATGGCAATGGCCACCAACGCTTTGCCAGAGATCAAGATTACTCCACTACCCGCAGCTCCAACAAATAGCACCAAAATTATGAAAGTACAACCGAGTCCACTGGCTGTAATTGTGCCAGTGACGCCAGTGACGCCAGTGACTCCCGCCCCGCCACTAGCACCAACAGTAGCACCAATCATGCCTGCAGGAACACCGATAACAACAATCTCAAAATTAACTCAGCCAAGTGAGCAACTGGGGTCACCCAAATTACAGCGCTCCAAGTCATTGGCCGGCAGTGAAGAGAATGCGACAATCATTTTATTACAAAACAATGCAGCGGAGCGACGTCACTCGGTAGCCATTATGGCCAAGGAGGTGGATGTAGTAGAGCAGCCAACTCATATAGAAACCATAACCATAGACGACGATGACAGTGAGGAGGAAAAGGAGGCAGAGGAACGGCGGAAACAGCAACAACAGCAGCAGCAGCAGCAACAACAGAAGCAACAGAGGCTACAGCAGCAACAGCAGCAACAGCAACAGCTGCAACAGCAACAGCAACAGCAACAGCAGCAGCAGCAACAACAACAACAGCTGCAACAGCAACAACAGCTGCAACAGCAACAACAGCAGCAACAACATCTGCAGCAGCAGCAACTACAACAGCAGCAGCAAAGGCTGCAACAAGTGGCAACTCCAATAATTTCAGTTTCAGCTTCGAGAAAGAATTCAACAGCCAGTCGAAGTAGTAGCATTGCGAGCAGCTGCAGCAGCGATGTGGAAATGATCATTTTGCCATGCAGTAAACCGGAGGAGCCGAAGCAACCCAAACAACAGCCCCTGGAAATAAAGCATCCAGGCAATGGTGCCATCATCAACATTGTCAAAGCAGAAACATTGCCGGTGTCCAAAGAGGAATTTGAGAAGTCGTTGCGTTGCGATGAGCTTCTGGAGAACAGCTCACCTTTGTCTGTGTGTGCCAGCAATGTGGGCAAGTCGGGCACCATCACGGTAACACCTATTGCACGGCTGCAAAAAACAAAAAGTGCCGACCTGGTGCCAAACGTTGCCTTTGCATTGAACGCCTTCAGGCGCAGCATGCAGCAGAGTTTCAGCATGCTGCGCTGGCGGGACCAGCAGCCAAGCGTGCTCCAGAATTCTAAAATGCGCTTCGAGCTCAATCGTTACAATTTGCTGCAGCTGGCAGAGCGATGTGAACCACGTCATGGTCCAGCTGAGTACTTTGAGAAATCTCTCTTTGATCGACCTGTGCGGCGACCGAACAGCAGCAGCGATCCATTGCTCTATTTGTGCTCACGCTGCAATTGCCATGGACCTGCCTCTGATTTTCTGGCACCAAGTGAGTTAGCTCGAACATCGAAACAAATCGTGCCCACAAACTAATATTCAATTTCTTTGCAGGATTTTGCTCGATTAGCTGCGTGCGACGCGTTCCCAAACGTCGCCATCTCAATCCGCCCAGCGCTGCCAGCGAAAATAAAATAAGCCGCATGGAGCCAAAGGCAACGAATGGTCATGTAAAGCATCTGCCTCAGCATCATCAGCAGCTACAGCAGCTGCAGCAGCAGCAACAACAGCAGATCCAAGAACAACACTCACAGCTGCAGCAGCAAAATCGCGAAAAGGAGCGCAATCGTGAGCCTAAATTAAACGAATCGAAGCCAATATTTATATGGAGCGAATATCTGAAAATGAAAGGCAATGGTGGTGCGGCACCAGTAAATCTCTTCCCAAATCCGTTTCCTATTGGACAAAATCAGTTTAAGCTCGGCATGAAACTGGAGGCCATCGATCCGGAAAACTGTTCGCTCTTCTGTGTGTGCACCATTGTCGAAGTGCGTGGCTACCGTTTGAAGCTCAATTTCGATGGTTATCCCAGTATGTATGATTTTTGGGTCAACGCTGATTCAATGGACATTTTTCCGCCGGGCTGGTGCGAACGCACTTCGCGTGTACTCCAAGCGCCCAAGGGTTATTGCCCGGATAAATTTAATTGGTATCGGTATCTGTTGAAAACAAATGCTGAAGCAGCGCCCTCAACACTCTTCACCCACCTGAAAACATCCAGCCATACGCATATCAATGACTTCCGTGTGGGCATGCATCTGGAGGCGGAGGATTTAAATGATACGGGCAAGATATGTGTAGCCACCGTTGCGGATATACTAGATGAGCGTATACGCGTACATTTTGATGGCTGGGACGATTGCTACGACTTTTGGGTGCACATAAATTCGCCCTATATCCATCCCTGCGGCTGGCATGATGGTCGCCAACAACTAATCGTGCCACCCGACTATCAGAATGTAACATTCAACTGGGCGAGCTATATTGAAGAAACGGGAGGCATTGCAGCCCCCGAAAGGCTATTCAGGCCACGCGAGCCCATGGAGTTTCAGGCACGCATGAAACTGGAGGTAGTCGATCAACGTAATCCCTGCCTGATACGCCCAGCGACCGTGATCACACGCAAGGGCTATCGCATTCAATTGCATCTGGATTGTTGGCCTGCTGAGTATTATTTTTGGCTGGAGGACGATAGCACAGATCTACATCCGGTCGGTTGGTGTCAGGCTACCTCACATGATTTGGAAGCTCCGCCCAGCTTTAGGCAGGGTCCCCCGCTGATGCCCTGCGATGTTCCAGGCTGTCGTGGATTCGGAAACGCCAAACGCTTCAATCTCAACATGCATGCCTTGCGCGACTGCTGTCCCTATGCGCCGGACAACTGGCGGCAGTGGCGTGCCAAGACGGTAAAGCCACCGCGTGTCCTTCCCGAGCATATCAAGCGAGCAGACTCACCAATGCCACAGTCGCCGTCGCCGTCGCCATCACCTTCGATGTCGCAGTCCCAATCGCAGTCATCATCATTGTCGCCGTCTTTGTCGTCTTCGCCGTCACAGTCGCGGTCATCCCCAAGGCCGCAGCCTCACGCACAGACTTCAACGGATCCTTTACCCGGCTCAGCAGCGCAGTTGAACACGAATTCGAAGCTAGTGTCAGCCAGAGGACATATGCTCCAAAAAGTGGACACACCGCGACCGAGTTTAGATTCGAAGCCACCGGCAAATATGAGGAGCGATGTAAAAACACCGTTACCCACTGATACCGAGGTCAAAACAGCCCCAGCTGGACAGGGCGAACTCAATCCGCGCTGCCTAGCTATAGCCAAGAGCATTGTGACGGATTATGGGCCACATCTTGCACGGAATTATCGCCTTTGGCAACGGAACAGTGACTTTGATATGACGCAGCTGAAAAGCAATCCGCTCTACTGGACTAACTGGGACGTCTATGAGTTTGTCGAACGAGCGCTTAAGTCGTCCACAATTGCGAAAATGCTTTTCGATGAAGAAATCGATGGACGAGCTTTGTTAATGTTGGGAAGAAAAGATTTGGCCACCTACTTTAAGCTGAAAGTTGGCCCCACAGTCAAGCTTTTCTCGCTAATTGTCAATCTGCGCATTGCGGTCGAGTGTAAGTTTCAGACCAAGGAGACGGGTCTTAACTTTAAACAACTTAAAAAGTCGATCAGAATCGCAAAACGTGAACCACTGAAGAACAGCCCAAAACCGTATGAAGATAATTCAAATAACCTGGAGCAGAACAATGTCTTAGACCGCTCGCCTGAAAAGCAAGAAGAGGACTCAGAAGAAGAGGAATCAGAGGAGGGAGAAGAGGAGGAAGAAGTTGAAGAAGAGGAGGTGGAGGCGGATGACGAAGATGATGCAGATTTTGAATTTAAGGAAGAACCAGATGAAGAGTTAACAGACGATGAGGACGTTGTGCTAGATAATGAAGACTTCCTTTGCGTCAAGCCAATACCCGAGATCAATAAAAATGAGGCTGTTGATGAGAAGGACGCGGATGTCATTATGACTACCGTGGATGCACTGCCCGTGAGTGCTTCCTAGGGGTTAGTGTATGTGGTGTCCAACGGGGGACACGAAAAGGGAAGGGAAGTTCAGCATGCTCCTATTCCTTTTCCTGTTCCTCTTTTGCAAAAGGTGGAAGAGGCAGACGAAGTTGATTTCTATAATACAGAATCAGAACAAAAGCAAATGTATGACGTGGACGTCAAGCTGGACAACAAAGATTTCCTATGCATTAATCCTATACAGAGCATGGTCAAGAATGATGGTCCGCTTGAAGGTAAAGATTCGGAGTCCGGCTCAGGCTCTGACTTCGACTCTTCTGCGGACTATAGCTCGCACTCGGACTCGAGTTCAAATTCGGATTCCCTAGCTGTGCTGCCCTTAACTGCATCATAGGGGCTACTTTCGACAAACCAGGAGCATGAAGAGGAAAAAAAAACAAATCATCCTCCTTTTCGGCAGAAGGAGAAGGAAGGCGAAGATGATGTTGCCTTTGATTATAGAGAATCAGGTCATGGGCAAACGTATGACCAGGCCGTTAAGTTGGACAACGAAAATTTCCTATGCGTTAAACCTATACACAGCATGATCAAGAGTAAGAGGCCGTTTAAAGATATGGAGTCGGACCCGGACTTTGACTCGGACTCCCTGAATGCGCTGATTGTGACTTCATCATAGGGTTCCATCCGTCCGACACCAGCCATTATGTTTCAATCACATTTGGATTTGAAGTCCATCAAATCAACATTAACTATGGAAAAACTGTCTAGTTAGTTAATCTATTTATATAAGATTTGTTGCGTTGGATCGTTTTCAATCAATTAATATTGTGTATTCTTTTGATATAGTGACTAATCTTTAAGCGTTTCAATTAAAGTTAATGTAAAAAAGTTATTCTTGAGTATTAAGAATTCGATGATCTAAAGATCTAGATGGTCTTTTATGTCAAATTAAAGCTATATCTACATTCATCCTTTCAATCTATTTTGTTTCAAGCTGTGTGTCGGCGTGTACAATTGAGGAAGATGCATTTATTGGAACTATTAACCGAACCAGATAATTTTGAAACTAACAAATGCCACTAATTTGAAGAACTGCTGCTTGATTAATTTGGTCCAGCGGACCGTCATGTGCATATCAATATGAGACTATTGCCGTTTTGAATTTGGATTCAATAGTTGGCAAATATTACGTCTTGTTCTTAATGCCTTACAATTTTTTTTCTTTGACTTGTCAGGTTCTATTGGTGAGGTAGCTTTATTCTGTGAATCTTCCGTAGGTGGCTGTGGTGTTTCAGATTCGTTCTCTTTCGCCTGTGACTTTGGTGCCTCTTCCTCATGAGATTTTGTTTGTTCTGCTTCCGATTTTGCTTCAATTTTTGAATTTGATTCAGGTGGTCGTAGCCCGGTTTGTATATCTGCTGCTGCTGCTGCTGCTGTTGCCAGTACTTCAGCTGTTGAAGCTTTTGCTTCTGCTGTTGTTGCTGCATCTTCCGCTGCTGCTGCTGCTACTGCCTCTACCGCTGCCGCTTCTGTTTCTGCTTCTTTCGTTTCATTGTCGTCTTTTACGGCCAAAGTGCCGTCAGGCTCGAAAAGCAAACCTCCAAATAGATGTGTCACTTGGACAAATTGTTGAAAGCAGCACATATTTCTATAATAGATATTATTGCATTTCTGATATTTCTTCAGTGCCAAGAGCAATTCATTGTCAGGAATGGTGTTAGCACCCTTCAAAATTAACATCAGAGCATGCAACTCCTTAACGGTAAATTTCAGAAAACTATTATCACTGATCACCCTCTTAGCCATTGGCACAATTTTCTGCAACAGGGGCGAGGATGATGAATACTAATAAAAATTGATAAATAATTGCAGTTACCTTGCCCACCAGTTTCATCATGGCCGGGCGATTGTGTTCATTGGCCAATTGAAACATTTTGAGCACCGTAGACATGGGCCATTCCTTATCGACGAATTTGCCAATGTAGCCGTCCACAAAGTCGGGCATTTTGTATTTGGTGGCCAAATAGACGAGATCGGGAAACATCTCTATCTGGATATCATTGTATATCTCATACGTGTATATATAAAGCAACAGGGTCTCGTAAGCATCGGGCATGGCGTCATTCACATTGATCACAAGCTTGGATTTATTGAAATCCGTTTCGCGGAACATGCTCTCGAACTCCTCCGAGGCAGACGTCAACAGAATCCTGTGGCACTTGAATTCGCGGCAGCAACAAGTCATCGATTTATTCGTGTACCAGACTTTTAGCTCACAATCCGACAGTTGTCCGGAACGAAGCAATTCTAAACGACGTAACTTGCAAAACATCATTTATATATTCGAAAATTTGATACACTACATAAATTTGGTACTAAAACCGATATTTCCTGAAATGTTTTTTCATTCTCAAATTCGATTCTTGATTTTAACTTCCTTGTAGTAGCGTGTACATATCTTGGTTTTATTTGTTAGATTTTTGCCTGAAGCTTGCTTAAATTGTCTGTTGAAAATGTCAAAATTACGAAAGTCGAATGACAGGGCTAATTCAAGAGCGTCCAGGTCGTCCAACCCGCCTGCTTCTGCCCCTGCGGCTACCCCTGCCACAGATGAAGTTCCCTCCCCATCAGCACCAGTCCCAAAGACGGAGACACCTATTAGCTTAGATGTTCCTTCGACCAAGAAGCGCCGCCTCGAATATTTGCGGAGCGGCATAGATTCCGATTGTGAGGTGCATGTGGCGAAGAATCCGAGTATTGCTGATGATGGTGCCAGCACCTGTTATAGGAAATTTAAATGTCATCGCCTATTTCTGGCAACCGCATCTGAGAAACTGGAACATGACATTTTCGAAAATAAAAACTGGAACGGAGTATTGCAAATTAATGGAGTCTCGCCGCAGAGTGTGGAAATCTTTCTGGAATTCATTTACACCTTTGAACTGGCAACGGCGCAAATCGATCTATTCCTTATTGGGGATATATTCATATTATCCTGTGCATATAATTTACCAGACCTCCTGCTGAGCTTCTCGCAAGAACTAAAGAATATTACATGGCCATTAGCTGGCATATTACCAGCCTTCAATCTGGCATTCCGTCATAATATTTATGATCTGGAAAATTTTAGCATAACCGTAAGTCCTCTATGCATTTTGATATCTCGTATATTGTGTATAACTATAATTTTCGCTACGTTTTCAGAAAATTTTAGAAAACGCAGCTGCTCTTAAAAACGAGCCTGGACTTAAAAAACTACAGATTTATGCATTTAACTACGTCATCCAGTTCTGGCTAGCCACCGAGGTATATTCTATATACATATATTGCATTATTCATATTAATATTAAATTCTATTTTCAAACAGGCGTTATCCACAAACGAAATAATTCAAATAGTACAGGAGTACCAGAAAGAAAATAATTTAATATTTAAAAATGCACAACAATTTCCACATTTCATTAAGATTATCAACTATTTTCCCAGCATGCTTCTGGACGCCGAAGGATTCATTGTTCGTTCGCCTTAATTAATGACGACCGAAGTTAACAAGTTAACATGGCTATGTAAATTCTAACATTGAAAAAATTTCAGTGTAATAAAACAGTCTTCTGGTATCTTGTTAACATAATCCTAAAGATTTGCCTGCATACAGCCCTGTCTTGTCATGCCATATATTTTGTTATTGCCAATAAATATACAAGATTTTTACTGTTATCGATTCATCGTTTCTAAGAGAACCAGTAGATTATTTTTTATTATATACATTTGTCATCGAAATACACAAAAATTCGAAGAATTCGCTATATTTGCTGCCCAGTCTTTGGCTTCAAATCGGTAATATTGCTTTTTACAAGACGCAGTAATCAAATATTGGTTATATAATATTTTATTCACATAATGGAACGAAAATTCTTAAGAGCGAACGAAAAATTTGAGTTCAAGATGGGGCACATGCAGCAATCTATTGCGTTGCAACTATCGATATATTTAGCCATCCCTATCTGGTCCTCAACTTGTGGTTTTCGTACAGCATTTTTCCGGGTGTTACAGTGTTACAGTGCTTGAAAAATATAAATAGCGAATTGAAAAAGAGTGTAAACAATATTCAAAGCTAGTGTATGTGCAAAAAAAATCTGGAAAAGTGTTGTTCGCTTATAACAGCAATGAAAGGCAGTTAATGGTTTGCCATTTGGATTTTCGTTGCCGACGTCGGATCTCATATACAGATATAGTAAACGGCGCAATCGCCAGAACGCAACTACATTTCCCACTGTGCAGCAAATATCAAGTAATTGCAACGTGTTTAATGCTTTAATTAGAAGTTTGAATTGGGTGCTTAAGAAGTTCTACACTATTTGTTTTTCCTTCTCTTTTTGTGGCGCATGTTTTGTTTTCTTGTGCACTGTACACCACATCATTATGCTTGTGTTGTGTGTGTGTGTGTCTGTGTTAGTGACTTTGTACACATTTTAGGCGGTGTGGTGTGAGGCCCTCGCAGTGCGCTCGATAAATATCGCTGTCATTCCTCTATCGATATGCATTGGGGATGAAATGCGCGCGAAACGACAATGGGGGCTAACATTATATTACATGCATACATACATACATATATACAATAAAGATAAATTAATTTGGAGATGAATAAAATTAATGAAAATTCGTGCTCAAATTTATTCCCGTACAGTTAATGTTTCGGTACCTGCCCGCTTAAAAGTTTGCAAACGATTCATTCAACTAATATAAAATGGAAGAAATATCCAGTCTCGACTCCTTTGGCGCTGATTCGAGCGCAAGACCTGAATCAGAAACATCCAAGCTGGACGAGGACAATTCAAGGGAAAAAGCTGAAGCAAGAACATCTCTTCAGGATACACCAGCTTCACCATCACCTGTGGAAAATATTAGTGCAGATGCCGGCGAAATAGCTGAAAAAATAGCTGCGGCACCAGCAACAGGCGAGGATGACGATTTCGAGCAGATATCAGAGGGTTCTTTGGACATGGACGAAGGGCAATCGCAAGACAAATCCGATGCTGCTGCAAAAGATGAACAAAATCCTAAGGATAGTGAAGATTTGGATGCAGCGCCCAGTGCAGCTGAGCCAAGCACTGAGGATGCATCAGAACAAGATGTGGAGCCAGCTGCGGCAGATGAAGAGCAAGAGCATTACAATATAGACCCCAATGCTGATGCAGATGCTCAGCAACAACATGATGCTTTTGAAAATGTAGAGCAAGGCAAAGAAGCACCAGAGACAGATGCAGTCGATGGTGCACCGGCCTCCATTGAAGCTATGGAAGTAGACGACGAAGGTGATGCCGAAGGAGAGTCTGCGCCCGCAGAAACAACTGCTGATGCCGATGATGTTGAAATGCGATCCGAAGGGGGCGACTCTCAGCATGCAGCTGCTGAGCAAACTGACGCGGGCGACAAGTCTACTGAAGACACACCTTCAGAGGGCAGAGATGAAGTTGATCGGACAGAAGAACAGAATGCTGCAACAGCTACAGACAATTTGTCCACTCACGAAGAAGATGATGCAGATAATGCAGAGGCCGACGCTGAGGCAGAGCGAAATGAAGATGCTGCCGAGGCCGAAGTCGAGCAACAAGATGAAACAGCCGATGATGGCGCCGAGCATCAAGATGAAGCTGGCGAAGCAGAACAAACGGAAGAAACAGCCGAAGCAGAGCATGGAGATGGTAAGCGTATTTGCATTAATAATAAAATCGAATTATATTAATTTTTGGTTGCTTGCACAGATACTGTCGAGAATGTGCTGGAACCCGAAGAATCTGATGTTTGTCTTATACCGGACGATCCCGAAACGGAAGTAACCGAGGCCGAAAAGGAGCAGGCCCGTGAGAATGCAGAAAAGGCAGCCGAGGAGGAGGAAGCCGCAGAGCAAACGCAATCTGGATCGAAATCACCTGGCACAGAGGCTGAAGCTGGAACAGAAACTCAAATCGACAAGGATGATGCGGCTGCCAGTACTGTGACTCCACAAACGGAAGAAACATCTGAAAGTGCAAATGGTAATAAAATAAATAAATAAGTAATTAAATTGTTAAGCTAAGCTGTCGATTGCTCTTCGTGTGCTCCTATTTAATCCTCCGTTTGAGCAGCAGAGGCTCTGGCTAATAAGCCAGCTGGAGCTGATGTTTTAGAGCGCCCTGAAGGTGAGCTTTACAATTAATTCTCAAAACTGTCTTAAACTCAAGTAATACAAGAATTAGCCACAAAGAGAATCATAGTTAACATATAATTTATTAAATGAGAAATAAAGTGTATAATAAAACTCTTTGCATTATACAGTGAGCACTGCAGCAGCCAATGAAGACGAGGACACTCCTGAAGCGGATGCCCAGGAAGCTGATGAACCCAGCCAGGAAGCATCAGGGACTGCCGAGGACGAAGCGGGCGGAACTGCCAAGATAATCATCGTCTGGATTGTGGGCAGCACACAAAAATGTAGACAATGTGACACTGAAAAGATCTGCGTATATCGCTTCAAACATAGCGAAGAGCCGCCGGCAGATGAAAATGCCGAAGAGACGGCAGCAAGTGAAGCACCTGCCACAGGAGAGAAATTCGAGTATTTATGCGATCAGGCGTGTTGTGATGCATTCTTGGCAGCGGAACCGGGCAAATACTTTTTGCGGCGCAAGAAGTTCCTAGTCGAGGAGGTTAGTCAGGAGTCCAGCAGTGTGGCTGCAGTTGATGATGACACAAGTATGAATACGGAGCCGACAGCTGCTGCTGAGCCCAATGAAGGTGATGCAATAGATACCGCTGTAACGAACAAGAAACACGCCTGCCTGCAGTGCAAGGAGCAGACAAATTGCAAATATTTTCTCCGGCAAGACCAGGATACGTACTACATATGCAATGATGATTGTTTCAATCTCTTAAACGCCGAAGAGCCGGATAAATACAAACTGAAACGTCACTCAATACGCGTACGAAACATTGGCGCCACCACAATACGTTCTCCCAGCAAGAAGCCTGAAACAAATGTGGTCGCCCGCACCAATGCCGAAGCGGAAGCGGCGCGTCTTGATCGCATCGAGAGCTTTAGGCGACGTTGCGCCGATTGCCAGCAAGAGGTGAATGTGGGTGACAAGCAGCTCATCTGGGAGACAATGGACTTTTGCAACGAGGTATGTCTAGGCAGCTATCAGCGTTCGTTTGGCGGCAACTGCGAAACATGCAAACAGGAGGTCAGCTCCATCGCTCTGGGCAAATACTGCGTCCGTTTTGGCTTCGAGGTGCGCCAGTTTTGTTGCGCGGCCTGTCTGAATACGTACAAGAAGGGACTGAAGACCTGCAGCTGCTGCCAGAAGGATATTAGCAGCGGCCAGGAGGGCTTTCTGGCGCCCGTCGGCGACAAGGATCAGTTCAAGGACTTTTGCTCGCAAGCATGTCTGCGACGCTATGATAATATGTGCAATCCCAAGAAGAAACTACGCACGGACATGTGCGGCGTTTGCAACAACGAAAAGCCTGTGCGTGTAGAGATGCTGTTAGACGACAAAGAGCACTATTTCTGCTCGAATCCTTGCTTTTCGGCCTTTAAGTTTGTGAGCAACGTCAATGCAGATCCGTGCTCCATGTGCTGCAAGTACTTTGAGCGAAAAAGCACCGATGCGTACACCATTTACAGCAATGATCAGCAGGCGCCGAAAATGTTCTGCTCGCGCATCTGCATCAATGTATACATCATTGTCAATCGACACATTGTCTCCTGTCAGTGGTGCAAGGTTAAGAAATATAACTTTGACATGATTTATAAGCAGCAAAACGACCAGGAGACGCTCACTTGTTCCATTAACTGTCTCACCATGCATGGCGTTAGCTGTAACATTTCAGCACGTGCTGTCACCAAGTGCGACAATTGCAGCAACACAAGCACCCCGCAGTACCATCTTACCATGTCGGATGCATCGATGCGCAATTTTTGTACATATCAGTGCGTAATGCAGTTTCAAAATCAGTTCGCACGCACTCCACTTACTTTGGACGGCGATGTGGCGTCAACGTCGGCCAGCAAAGCGCAACAGCAGCAACATCTATCTGCTTCACAAGCTCGTGGCAGCAACAAAAATGGAGCACCCTTTCCCACCGGGCTACCGAAACGGGTCAAATTGAAGTTGTCACAACAGCCGGTATGTATTTACTGATACTTCAAATTCGATCTCTAATGCGCTCTGAATAAAGAACCTGTTATCGATAGCATCCCTTTTGCGATAGTCGCATTTTAGTAGTGTTGAAAGGATTTTGAGAGTGCAAAATAAGAAATATAAACCGACGTTTGTATACAGTCGAATATATCTATTATAAATAGAATTTCATATTTTTGAATTCGAATTTTTTTTTCATTTGATTAGATTATATAAAGATCTGTTTATCGAATATTAGCTCATAGATTTATATTATTGTCCACTGACCAGTGTTTGGTCAGTGCTAATACTTATTTTGCGATGTGGCTGCGCTCTTTCTCATGCAGTCCATAAACCCTCTACGCGGTTTTCCAATTTGATACAGATTTTTTTTTAGAATTAAACATGCGTTTAAGGTGGAAAGTAAGTGTAACGAACGTTTAGTTTAAATTGTGCTAAATGCTGTGAT